GACTACGCGCTACCACGCGTAAGTGGATGTAATTACACCCAAGAAACACCAAGCAGTGGATGATTTGAAAATTATTACGATGGATCTGACGATCGATTGCGAAATCGATAATAAGATCGATCGTAAAATCGATAGTGTGGACGATGGTAAGGTCGATCGTGAGACCGAGAGTGACATCGATTCAATGAGATCGATAATTAGATCGATCGCGATATTGCTCATGCGATATCTAGTGAGATCGCTTGTGATATCGATAGTGAAGTCGATTGTGAGATCGATGGTGAAATCGATCGAGAAGTGGGTAATGAAATCGATGGTGCGACTGATCGATAAGAAGATCGACCAGGAACCCAGGAACCCGGCGACTTCGCCGCCCTCCGAAATCGGCCCGGATCCGGGAACCCGGGAACCCAGAACCGGGACCCCGGGAACCCAGCCAGCAACCGAAATCGGCGGGAACTTTCGCCAAATCCTTCAATATCCGCGAGGACCTTTTCAGTGCAAGCATTGATTGGGGAACTGAATGTAGGTGAAGGTCCTTGAAAGCACCCGAACGTAGCCGATTGTAGCCCGAACGTCACTGACTGCACCTGAGTGTAGCGTAGTGGGACCCAGCGCAACCCAGCGCCACTTGGAGCAACCTAGTGAAACTGAGTGTAACTGAGTGTAACTGAGTGTAACTAAATGTAACTGAGCGTAACTGAGCGCAACTGAGTTTAACAGCGTTTGTCTGAATGTAACTGACTGTAACTGGGTGTAACTGAGTGTGCCGGAATCCGCTCGCGCCAACGCCGGCTGCGGCCACAATGAAGGTCTCCTCGCAGTCGTCCTCGTTGTCGCCGTCGTAGCTGTCGAACTCCGCCGCTAAGGCTTCAAGCTCGCCCTCGTCGAGCTAGCTGAGACCGTCGAGATCCCCCGTCACGCTCGCTTCCCTGAATTTGCGAACGACCATCCTCTTCAACAGAACTTCCCCTGGCTTGTTGTAGGTATTTGTTCGGCCGCAATCGTACATTGGGTTTCGTCGCTCCGTCATGTGCAGGTTGGGAAACACTAGCATCATCGCGGGCACTACATCCTTCATCTCCATGCAACCGCTGGTGGAGGTCATCAACATACTCTTCTGTGCGTCCGTCAGGCCCGTCTTCTCTATCAGCCACCAGCCCGCGGTCCTCGGAGGCAATGCCGCGTCTTCTTCGTCCAGATGACCGCGCGCTTCGCCGATCCTGATCCTCCACGCATTAAGGTCCTCTCCTGCACGGCGGTGCAGGTGCTTGTAGAAATACAAAAGTCTGATGAAGATAGTTACAAATTAAGACAGCTGGGTCAGCTTTTCAAAAGATTATTAAGGAAACGCTGGGCCAGCTTCTGGAGCCAGGAACGTACACGATTCACTTCTAGGACCAAGGATACCAATCCCCTTGAGAAACTGAGCTAGCTTTCTGGCAAATTGGCTAAGGAACGCTGGGCCAGCTTTTCGGGGGGAGGTTCCTTCATCATAAGCGGGACCGTACGTCATCACCTGCCCGCGCCTGGTCGGTTCGTCAACGCCCATGGTCGCGAGCACCTCCATCAGCGTATTGATGCCAGTCATCGGGTCGGGCTCCTCCCAGTGGCCTGGCTCCTCGTAGTCGTCCTCTCCTCGTTCTCCAGCTCAGCAACTCCTTCCTCGCGAGGGTCTGGCACCCACGTCCAAGGCTTCGCGCGCAGCTCGACCATGGGGATACTTTCACCCAGCGCCTTGGTCGCGCCCGTCAGGCACTTCACCATCCTCGCCGCCCAGCTCCACGAGACGTCCAAATTGATTCCCCCGCTGCACAGGGCGACATCCTTCTTGTACCTGCGCCATTTCGTCGCCGAGCCGTCCCAGTTCGGTATGCCCTCAAGGTCCCTGCTGAACTGAGCACCACTTGCGAACGCATACGTGCTTGTGGTTCGCCTCCACCACTCGCCGCCGCCCGATGACGAACCTCTTCTGGGCGGCAACGCGTCAGGGCGGGGCCGAGGACGCCGCCTCCCATCGCGGGCCTCCTGCCCTCGTGCGATGACCCACCTCTCGGCGGAGAGGCCATCGCACTCGTCGTCGTACTCCGTGATCGCGTCATGGCAACTGCCGTCGTCCGACACCGTCGCCCTCCGTGCCTCGACTCTGGCTGCTGCGTCGATCTGCTGCTACGGCGCGCCCGCGGCGCTCCGCTGCCACTGCGGAACCGGGGAGCCTCCAGGGCCCGACCCTTCCAGCTCCGCAGCGGGGCTGGCGGCGGACCCCGACAGGGGTCGAGAGGACGGCACCTTGTGTTCTCCTATAGCTTCCACGCCGGAAGCCACAGTGTCGCAAGCCGGCTTGAGCCGAGCCGGCAGCATCAAACAAGCGAGAGAGCAGAGGGAGAAAGAACCAGAGGGGAAAGAGGAAATGCACAGATATGACGGGGAGCAGGGAAGACATCCAATGAGAGCCGCATTCCTACGACACTGAACGGGAAAGACAGTGAAGTGTGGACGCAGCATCATAAGGCTATAATTAGAAGCCTTGTTGGAAGATCTCTCTGGCCTCAGGCGCGGCTCTTCAAACACGGGAAGTCGCAGCACAGCAATTGGCTACTGTGCGGAGGTCCTGGGACCCTCTACCATAGATTATACGAGTGCCCGTGCCTCGCCGCGCACAGCAGGGATGAGTGCTCCCACAGTGTGCTCGAAGCCGCAAACCGTGTCAAGAGTAGGTAAGGGTGACATGTTTTGCAGAAGCTTGTTTTCCCTGGCCGGCGAGATGTTTCCCCGTCCCAGAGGCGAGGATAGAGGGAGGACCAGACAAGTTGGGTCGGGGCCCCTGCGGGCTGGAAGTGCTCGGGACCTCTTTTTGCGGATGGTATTGCGTACTACTCGAGGTTTTCCGGGCTCTTTAGGGCGGGCTGGTCGATCATTCAGATCGACCGCGCTGGCAACGTCGTAGCTGGTGCGTTCGAGATGGTCCCTCTGAGCAACGCGCCAAACCAGACCGCGCGAGATGGGGAAGAGAGAGCGTTTCAGGTCCTAGGGGAGTACTCGGAGTGGAACTCTGAAGACCCTCTCACGGCCTACTCAGACTGTGCTGGGCCGATCAGTTGTGCAGTTGACCCTGGTGTAGCTCTGGACCCCATGAACAGTAGAGGGCGCTCCTGGGTTCGCCGGTGGGAAGGGACTGGCTGCCATGCTCGAGTCTCGGGCTGGGCGAAAGGGGGAGACAGCAAAGGGGGGGGTGAGAATCAGCTCACGTAGCTGATTTTCCCGGCGCCCCTCGGCGCCTGAGGCGGCCATGCATCGAGGAATGGGCCCCTCGGTGGGGCCGAAACCAGCGGCACGCAGCAGACTTCGTAACCCCCCCCGTTTCGGGCGTTGGCAGAACTGGGTTTAGTGGACCCTGGTCTGGTGATTGTACCGGGGGCGCCCCCCCGTCCCATTTCCACTAACCGGAACTGCCGTCACCCGAAAAACACCAGCTCCGGCAAACCTGGTTTAGTTAATCTGGCCAATTGAGGGGCCCCAGGGCCCTACCACTAACCGGGTCCCCTTACCCGGGGTCCTGGCTATACCCGACCGCTCCCCATCCCCCCCTCTCGTCCGCCCCGAGGGGCCCACGAGCCGAAAGCGCACCCTGCGCTGCCGCCGCGGCCGCCTCGGGCCGCGGGGAGCGGCGTCTTCGCCGGCAGCCGCGCGGCGGACCGCTGGGCGACAGGCGCCCGAGCGCCCACGAGGCGAGAGAGCGCACCCTGCGCTGGCCGCGGCCGCCTCGGGCCGCGGGGAGCGGCGTCTTCGCGGGCAGCCGCGAGGCGGACCGCTGGGCGGCACACGGGGGGCCCCGAGCCGGCGCGTCCACCCGCAGCGGCTCGCCGCTGCACAAGGGGTGCCGAGGCCACCGCACATCACATGTGCGACGCGGTGGCGCAGGGCCGAAGCTAAGTGGTGCTCTTCGTTCTCGTTCTGTTTTCGTTGTCCCTCGTCTTGTCTTCGATCCACCTCCACCGCACATCACATGTGCGACACGGTGGCACGGGGCTGAACCTAAGTGGTGCTCTTCGTTCTCGTTCTGTTTTCGCTGTCCCTCGTTTTGTCCTCGATCCACCTCCACCGCAGAACGAAGTCGGAACGAAAACGGCCCACGAAATCGCCAGGACACCATTCAGGTCCAGCCTTGCGATGGCACGCGAGGACCCAGCAGCTCTTCTGCGGACTGTGCACCCCCTGGACTGGGGGGGCCCCCGAGGAGCCGGGGGTGACGCTCTGTCGATCCTGCGGCGCCTCCGTCCACAAGGATGCTCGGGCGGGGGAGGGGCTGGACGGTCTGTGTCAAGGTCGGGAGGCCCCAGGACTCAACACCCAGAGCTCCCGCCTCCGCCGCGGCCTCGCTCCAGGGAAGTTCCACGCATGCATCAGCGAGGCGCGCGGGCCCACCGCTGAGGCGATAGCACGCTGGCCTCAGCGCGTGCCGTCCCTCGGAGGCCAGGGCGCGGGGGGGCCGGAGGCAATGCAGGGGAGCGATCAGTTTCACGTCAAGTGCGGAACTGCAGTGCCGGAGCTCGACGATCGGGCCGCTGCCCAATGACATGGCTTCGCCTCGCCAGATGCGGTTGTAGAGTTCGGTCGTTCTCTGCGGGCTTCTGGTGGCGAGCTTTGGTCCTTGGGAGATCATAACGAGGTTTTGGTAGCTTTGGCTCTGCGGAGAGGGGGCCCTGCCCCATATAGTCAAAGTCGCAGTCACCGCCTCCTCCTCCTCCTCCTCCTCCTCCTTCTCCTCGTTGGTATCGCCACCTCCCCCTCACTCCTCGAGGGGGGGAGGTGAAGTAGGGAGAGGAGGCAGGAAGAGAATGAACGAATGAATGAACGAACGCGGACATTTGCGATCCACGGCCAACTGCCCGACGCGGAGAAGGAGAGAAAACAGCGGGTGGGCGGAGGACGGGGGGGGGCCCACCTCTCCTCCTGACCCTCTGGGCCGCTTCGACCGACCAGCGGCCATGGGCACCGACCTCTGGGCATACAGGTACTGGCCGCTCGGATTCTGGTAGACAGGGCGCCCTGCCTGGCAAGGCGGACGCTTCTCATCCAAGTCCCCATCGTCTTAGTCGTCAGCGCCGCCATCCTTATCCTCCACCTCCTGTTCTCTTGTCACGTTGCACGGGCTACGACCATCATGTCGCAGCGTCTAATGATTCATGCTGCTTGAGACTCCGACACATGAGGCAGGGGCGGAGAAAGAGCGTGCGAAGCAAACTGACGAGCAAAGAGTGCAATTGATGAAGATGAGCATGCAAGGACACATCATAAAATGTCCCGCGGCCACCCAGCGCGACATCGTCGCACCAGGGCGGGCGTCAGCACATTGGCTAACGTCCCGAGCAGAAGAGGCGGGACATGCCGAACAGCCTTCAGCAAGTCCCGAGAGCGTCGGACAGCCTTCACCCCTTCCCCCAGGGCCACTTTGGGCCCCCCGCCGCGCCAACCCCAAAAAACATTTTACGGCGCAGGCGGCAGGGAAGGGAGCACTCCTGCCACCACTCTGTAGGACTTGTCGAGGGCCTCCCCGCGCGCCCCACCCCAGGATTGCATTAGAGGCTCGTGCCACACAGCCATCAACTCATAAGATGAACAGCCCGTCAACGACCTCGGCGCCCCTGCGGTGATTATCCACGCTCTGCGGCATGCGGATCAGGCTGAGACGCCACCTCAACCCATCACCCATGCCCGCCGCCTCAGCGGTCGCTCGTCCACCACTGATCGCCGCAGCGGCCATCGCGACCGGCGCCCCTACTCCGGTCGCCACGCGGGGCCTGCCCACCAGCCCAGCTCGAAGAGGGCGGCCAGGATGTCCAGCGATCAGCTGCGTCACCACGCCAAGGGGCTCGCGGAGACGCCGCTCCGTCCTGCCACGGCTGGCCGTAGTCGCGATGCCATGGCGCAGAGGACTCTGCCGCGCCCCCCTCGTCGGCCTGCGCCATCAGCGCGGGCCGCGCGGGCGTCAGACTCGGGGCGACATTGCCAGCCCATTCTTTGTTGGGCGGCCCGTTCCTCGCCGGTCGCGGTTCTACCGTCTGCCGCGGGGGCGCGTCCGGCGAGGCGCGCCAATCTCTCTCAGGAGACCTGTTCATCGTGCGAGGACCACTCTGCCGATGGGCGCGCAGCGGCACGCCCGACTCCAGCCGCACTTTCGCAAGCCCCCACGCAGAAGGCGCACGGTGGAGGCCTGGCCAGGCGGGTCGAAAATGCCTTTGCCCTTCTGAGCGCGAGGCGCCATGCCGCCGCGTTCATCGGCCCTCGCTTTCGCGCGTCTGCACCCCCGCCTCGGCGGTGGAGCTCGCCCGCGGCGCCTGTCTGCACGGGGGGGGGGCCATCGCCGGCGGCAGAGTCGCCAGGGCGATCGCCCCCTTCATCTTCTCCGCCATTACCATTTTGATCGATAGGCTCGAACGGCTCCCATGCGTCCTTGAAGTGGGCCCACGCGCGATCCTTCAGGTGCTCGAATGTAGGAAGATGATGTCCCTGACTCCCCCCGCGGCCAAGCGGCCCATCCGTTCGACGCTTCGAGCGCCTCTGTATCGGACATCCTGAAGTTGTCCCACGTGAGGGGCCCCAATTATCCGAAATTCTGCCCATCGGCCCGCGCGTGGCACCTCAGAAACGGCCAAAAACTCCAGCGGGGACAAGAGCTCTCGATCCGACGGCTGGCGTTCCCATGTGCTTTTGAAAATTTGCCCAACGCTGACCCGACAAACGAGCCTTGTTCTGAAGCCATGCATGGACCTGGGCTGGCGACGTGTCCTCTTCCTACTTGGACCGCCACGCAAGCGCAGTCGCGCGCTGAACAGTAAATGCAGTCTTACCTTGACGGGCCAATGTGCGTCGATACTTGGTCATCATTGTATATGCCCACTTTTGTTCGGACTTGGGTCTGTTCTTGCCAGTGGCGCGGCCTTGCGTATATGTCTGGGGCCGCGCAGTCGAAGCAGGAACCCCGGTCCCCGGCGTCGAGATCCATCACCATGCCTGGAAACTTCCTGAGACCCTGGATCTCCCACATAACTGCAGGGCGAATAGCACTCGGCGTTCCAAACCGTGGCTCGTCTCCTATGGGTTGGGAGCAACGCAAGCAGCTGATCGCGCCCGGGCGATTGCGACGCGCCTTCGAGCACGCAAGATAGCCGTCCTCCCAGGGCGGAGGTGAAGTCACCTTGCGCTTTAAGCCGCTCGAAGCAAGCTGGTCGTCTAGGTCCCCAAACATGGTAAATTATCCATTGTATTTAACTTGATCAATGCAACCAGAATCCTGCAATGGAGTGATCCAGATCCCACCGAGGCGCCAGTCGAACACCACCGTACACGTCACCTTCGGGACAGGTATCTGACACGGCAATCCGCAAAAGCTTGCGAATCGCATCCCATCGTGGACGGAACTCAATCGCCAAGGAGCCATCCGGCATGATCCAGGACGTTGCACAATCATAAATGCGCGGAGCGACGGTCGCCATGCACTGGCCAGACAGCTTCTCTGGGATGTCTACGTCGAATACCCGCGCATCCAAGTTATCGGCTGAGTGCGATCTGGACCATCCATGTGGGCGAAGCCAGCGCAGGAACTGCCCTGGCTGGCCATTGCACTATCCAGCTTTATCTCGCTGCACCACTGATCGCCGCAGCGGCCATCGCGACCGGCGCCCCTACTCCGGTCGCCACGCGGGGCCTGCCCACCAGCCCAGCTCGAAGAGGGCGGCCAGGATGTCCAGCGATCAGCTGCGTCACCACGCCAAGGGGCTCGCGGAGACGCCGCTCCGTCCTGCCACGGCTGGCCGTAGTCGCGATGCCATGGCGCAGAGGACTCTGCCGCGCCCCCCTCGTCGGCCTGCGCCATCAGCGCGGGCCGCGCGGGCGTCAGACTCGGGGCGACATTGCCAGCCCATTCTTTGTTGGGCGGCCCGTTCCTCGCCGGTCGCGGTTCTACCGTCTGCCGCGGGGGCGCGTCCGGCGAGGCGCGCCAATCTCTCTCAGGAGACCTGTTCATCGTGCGAGGACCACTCTGCCGATGGGCGCGCAGCGGCACGCCCGGCTCCAGCCACACTTTCGTAAGCCCCCACGCAGAAGGCGCACGGTGGAGGCCTGGCCAGGCGGGTCGAATATGCGTTTGCCCTTCTGAGCGCGAGGCGCCTTGCCGCCGCGTTCATCGGCCCTCGCTTTCGCGCGTCTGCATCCCCGCCTCGGCGGTGGAGTTCGCCCGCGGCGCCTGTCTGCACGGGGGGGGGGCCATCGCCGGCGGCAGAGTCGCCAGGGCGATCGCCCCCTTCATCTTCTCCGCCATTACCATTTTGATCGATAGGCTCGAACGGCTCCCATGCGTCCTTGAAGTGGGCCCACGCGCGATCCTTCAGGTGCTCGAATGTAGGAAGATGATGTCCCTGACTCCCCCCGCGGCCAAGCGGCCCATCCGTTCGACGCTTGGAGCGCCTCTGTATCGGACATCCTGAAGTTGTCCCACGTGAAGGGCCCCAATTATCCGAAATTCTGCCCATCGGCCCGCGCGTGGCACCTCAGAAACGGCCAAAAACTCCAGCGGGGACAAGAGCTCTCGATCCGACGGCTGGCGTTCCCATGTGCTTTTGAAAATTTGCCCAACGCTGCCCCGACAAACGAGCCTTGTTCTGAAGCCATGCATGGACCTGGGCTGGCGACGTGTCCTCCTCCTACTTGGACCGCCACGCAAGCGCAGTCGCGTGCTGAACAGTAAATGCAGTCTTACCTTGACGGGCCAATGTGCGTCGATACTTGGTCATCATTGTATATGCCCACTTTTGTTCGGACTTGGGTCTGTTCTTGCCAGTGGCGCGGCCTTGCGTATATGTCTGGGGCCGCGCAGTCGAAGCAGGAACCCTGGTCCCCGGCGTCGAGATCCATCACCATGCCTGGAAACTTCCTGAGACCCTGGATCTCCCACATAACTGCAGGGCGAATAGCACTCGGCGTTCCAAACCGTGGCTCGTCTCCTATGGGTTGAGAGCAACGCAAGCAGCTGATCGCGCCCGGGCGATTGCGACGCGCCTTCGAGCACGCAAGATAGCCGTCCTCCCAGGGCGGAGGTGAAGTCACATTGCGCTTTAAGCCGCTCGAAGCAAGCTGATCATCTAGGTCCCCAAACATGATAAATTATCCATTGTATTTAACTTGATCAATGCAACCAGAATCCTGCAATGGAGTGATCCAGATCCCACCGAGGCGCCAGTCAAACACCACCGTACACGGCACCTTCGGGACAGGTATCTGACACGGCAATCCGCAAAAGCTTGCGAATCGCATCCCATCGTGGACGGAACTCAATCGCCAAGGAGCCATCCGGCATGATCCAGGACGTTGCACAATCATAAATGCGCGGAGCGACGGTCGCCATGCACTGGCCAGACAGCTTCTCTGGGATGTCTACGTCGAATACCCGCGCATCCAAGTTATCGGCTGAGTGCGATCTGGACCATCCATGTGGGCGAAGCCAGCGCAGGAACTGCCCTGGCTGGCCATTGCACTATCCAGCTTTATCTCGCTGCTCCAGGGCAATTCCGCCGTGCGCATTGTCCCCCGCGCTCTACGACCAAGTCGCCCGGTCTTGCAAAGTCGCTCAGCTTGACAGTAATCGCGGACATGAATCTTTACTGCCGTTCTCCATCAGTGTCAATCTCTGGCGAAACCATCTGGTCAACAATTGACGCAGCGGGAAGGAATAGCGGGAGGGAATAACATCGCCGTTTGTGTATTGGTTGATGACGAGGGCGTAAGCGCTCGGGTTGCACCGCCCTTACTGAGTGCCCCTGCGATGCACGAAAGACACTGGGCTTCACATTGGGAGGCCCAACCTCTGCCCCGTAGATTGCGCCTCCGCCACGAGGCAGCGTCCGCCTGTAACCCTCTCTCCAGTAGTCTGGGCACCCACCGCTGGGTCGTCATTCTCCGCCAACTTGACACCCAGTACTTCGATCGACTCCTCCGGCAGGGTGCGAAGGGCGCGCGAAAACCAAGACCACGGGCGATCAAAACCCTCGTTCGTCA